TGTTTTGTCCTGGTTTTATCGGCATTGAGACTGAAATAAGATTCTGTAGATACGTAAGTATTTGTTGTCGTTTCCGCACATGTCTGCGTGCTTTGTAGAATAAACTTCAAAACATACGCGATATTGTGATAGTACTTAAAATTACTTTATAGACCCTGTACAATTCTTAAGTCATCTTATAAAAACATGAAATCAAACAAGCATTTACCCAGGATTATTTTCACCCACAGAATATTTCATACATAAAAAAACCTCCATTTCTATTTCAACTCCAACCTCTATCCCCAGTAACTCTATGAAATGTTTTCCTGTTCTTGAGGGTTTAATGAAGCATGTTGTCATTTCCAAAAGAATTTTCGTTCGCTGAAAGGATGAAAAAGGCCGTAATAGTTAGTGTAAAACCGTTAAATAAATTACCCAAATGATTGCACAGGAAAAAACGAAATAATTATGAAATTATGTGCGACGAGTTTAATTTGCATAGGTATCGAAAACAGCAACGTCGACAGGATAGTTTAAAGTAATGATCCAATCACGTTAGGAATAGGTCATTAACCAAAGGTTTTGACGAAATTGTAATGTGTGTAATTCGAGCGATGCCAGATTTGTATTTGCTTTTATTCTGAAATATCCATCATATACTCCGACTTAGGCGAAACGTTTTTAGATAGGTACACACTGTAAAACATAGATACATATTTTAAATGACAGAAAAAAATGGGTTTATTTTTTGTTATGTTATAGTGTTAGTATTTATTTATATCGTGCACATTGTTGATATTGCACATTTAAAATCAATGGACTCAAGGTATTGTTGCTCGGGATTTATTGCAATTAGAAGATAGATAATGATTGAAACGCTAAAATGGCAGATTCTCATAAACTTTTAAATTTCTTTCAAAAACTTGTTCAGAAGAGTATTTCAAAAAATATAAATTGGATTTTTTTTCAATTTTGGAAAAAGGTGACGTTAGATTACTTATCGAGTAAATCTTGCTGAAAATCCAGTTTGCTCCTGTGGACATCCTTGTGAGAATGCCTTTCACTTCTTCTTCGAGTGTCAAACTTTCAGAAATGAAAGATACATTTTGTTTCAAAATTTGGCTGAGTTAGAAGTAGATTTGAATTTAGAGCTTCTTTTATTTGGTAATAACGATCTTTCTGAGGACCTAAACTATTTTGTCTTTACACATGTGCAAAATTTCATTAAATCTAGCAAAAGGTTTTAAAAGATTCTTATACGATGACGTATTTATGTCTGTGTGTGAATGCTTAATATGTATAATTTATGTTTAAGCCTATCTCTTTATAAACATGTATTTGAAAATGTATGTTGGGAGAGGGCTCCAATAAGTTGTAATAACTTGTGCCCAATTCCCTTGTTCAAATTTATTTTGGCAATAAAATATGTTTAAACTACGGCACGTGGTACAAATAGAAAAATAATCAACATACGATTTAATTGTTTCATGGCGGATTTTGATCTTGTTGACAGTGTATTTGTGCACCGACTTTTTAAAACCTGTAGAATAATAGTAACGGGTACCTGCACACACACACACACACACATATATATATATATATATATATATATATATATATATAATTTATACATACTTTTCACTTTTTTTTTTAAAGTGTATTAAGGTAGAAGATAACAGAAAACATGAAATTTTAACCATCATTATTGGGAGTAGTGTTTTTGTTTTTGTTGTTTAGTTTATTACAACAATCCTATATGTTTTAGCTAGTATAATTATGCAATACATATTTGTTGCACAAGTCTTTATTGTTGTATATTCAGTTGATTTACTTTGTTTTGTGTTATTTAGCGAATAAATTATTTGTAAATGTTTAATGTTATATTTACACATGAAGCAAGCGTGTAGCTAAATGGCTTATAGGGAAATGGTGTTCCGTCAAATCATAAAAAATATAGCAGAAACAAAATCAATTATTGGTTTCATTAAAAGTTATAAATGTACCGTTGATCTAATATTTAGTTAATAAGATTTACGCTGATGTGGCAAGACATTGAACACTATAAGCAGGTGAAGTAGGATTACTTTACAAACTGACCAGGAAGATTTCATCACATTAAATTACGCAGTATACAATTGTATGTGTATCTATTTCTATATACGTATTATCTATGTACCTATTACTGTATAAAGTTAGTATGTATTGATTTACGGGTTGTGTTGGTCAGCAATAATTTAGCTAACATCAGCGTAAATTCATGATTCAAGATACACGAGTTAAGAAGGGTAGTAGGGTTAAGTGGGGTAGTAGAGTTAAATAGACGACAGACATTGATATTTGTCAGAGAAGGCCGGGGAGCGCTGGAGAAAGGAACACCATCTCTCACAATCTATGACTCTGCTTGTACTTAAATAAACTACATGAAAGAAGAAACAACGCCTTTGTGCTTATACTCAATTGGGCCAGAAGCGTAATAGAAACTAAGATGCTTATTTATCAGTTGGAACTGATCAAAACAAATTGTAATATTGATTTCCAGGTATGGTATTAATGTACAACAGTACAATAAAGTTTTACTTATACAGAAAAACGTTTTTGTGGAAATTGCCATCATTGTGTATATTGGGTGTAATTTGTAGATACAGTTACTAGTATCCAAATTTTGAAATACTATGTATCGGTTTATCATTAAAGGACATTGGCCCGGACGTTGATATTTCAATACCGATTGAGCCAGCGTTCGAGGTCATTACATTTTCCGTACTTTGGTATCAGTGTAGATATCATAGTGTTGTTTTCTTTGGAATGTGTAACAAGTAAGGTCCTAAATTAAACGTTTTTCTCCTTTCTTTCATTGCAAATTGTTCAACTGAAACACGATGTCCATATAGAGGATATTTGATAACGCAAGCCTAGAGCGCGATGTTATGTATTGTCCTTCCATTTTGTCACTCCTCGTTTCTGTGAATAAATATATCATTTCATCTTCATATCGTCCTGTTATTTCTTTCAATGATTGGTAAGTATCCTCTTATGATTCAACAATAAGAAAATAACTGGTAACACAATTATACTCGTTTCTTTAATTAAAAAAATAATTATATGTTTATAGAGATGTGATGGACATAAACAGTGAAATGTTATGATGTTGCTATCATACCACAGTAATAAACATGGTCACCTGCTCGTTTAGATATCACGCACGTCATGTGATTTAGCTTCCGTTAAAGTGATTTCTCATTACCGCGAGCCCATTCTTCCTTCCTTGACTTCGATTCCTATAGCTTTGCTGTTTGTTAGTGTTGTTAGATGTAGTTATAGTTTATTTAAGACAATAGCTTATTTTATTTCAGTAATTCAAAAGTCACATTCATAAATAAATAATTGCTCTTTTATACGTACATATTAATTTGAAATTCAAATAAAAATTAAATGACATTTTCATGAATAAGCAAGAATCGTGCATAAACAATTATCAAGTCTAATTGAAGTCTATTGATAATCAACTCATATGCGTGTAAGCAAAATAGCAGTAGTGTTATGCCTAATATTCCATAGCGACATGACCAAAAGTGGTGACGTCACCTGAAAAATATGTTTTCATCGATTTAAACAATTTTGTGCAACAAAAATTGAATTAAAGCACTAACTACACGTAATTCCGTATTGAAGACGCATTTCATGTCCACGGATGTCTGTAAAGGTTAGATAAAACATATCGCACAAACGTTTGAAATGTCACGTAGATAAGCTTGTATCTACAAGTGTGTTTGACTGTCCTTTCATGCTAATCAGCACTCAACGTGGCTATCTTTAAAAAAAACTTCAAATGCTGTGATATCCTATATTTGAGGATTCTGATCTTAATAATCAAGTAAATAGTTTCGTGGATTTGAAACGTAATTTAAAACAAAAAATATCGCCATATCAAAAAACTCGTATTTCAAACGTAAAATCGATAAAACAAAGGTCGGCATTCAAGCAATGCTTTATATAGTCAGACATCAATGGAAAGATCAAATATTTCCTACGAACTTGCGCATCCGTGAATGTCATTGACGGTTGCCAACTTAATATATCCTATATCCAAACCCGCCCCCCCCCACCCAACCCCTCCCCACCTATCCCAGTGACAACAACCGGCGATGCCTTAAGTCGTGAAACCAACTTTCTTTTTTTTTTCGTTGAAATTAGCGCTAGTAACACAGGAATTAAACATAATCTTGTTTCATTCAACAGAAGGAAATGGAATACGATGGAAGGTGCTGATCACTTGTGTGCCTTTTGTACCATCTTCGAGATTACAGACCATGGCCAATGTTTGCCAGAACCAGCGTGCCACGTTTAAATAAGTAGTATTTAGTAGTGGGACGGTTCTTATTGTCAAGTACTTCATTCTTTTGAAATTATACAAGTTTGGCTGTTAGTGTATCACATCATTGGGTTTGTAACACTTCTTTCGATTTTAATTTTCCTCTGTTACCATAATGGCCCGCGAGTGTCTCCGTTTGTTGTTCTAAACATATCAAATTTGTTACCAAAATCACGCGAACATCCATCCTCAATACTGCCAGGGTTACGCTCACTATCGCTCTCTGCTGAGAGTGAAAATAGTCGAAACCCCTTTGGTATCGATGATGGCCAACCCCTAAAGAATGGATTTGTAACATCATCTATATTCATATTTATTAACTTATCTTTGAAGTGAAACTGTTACTCTACTATAAGGCAATCTTGTAAAGACAATAGTTTACCAGGTCAAGAAGGATAGAATATTTAACCTCTTTCAGCGTATCAATGTCGTCTATCTAAGCGCCATATGTATTTTCAGTAAGAGTTTTTAAGATTTTGAATTGAAAATGCATAATCTACAAATTGATTTCTTGACATATTCGATAATGTTTTATTCCTTACAGATACTTCCTAAATCACTTAGACAAATTGCCGTCTCTGACTTACTTGTCTGACGAGATGAAGATTTAGAAACAACAGTAAAACCAAAACCAGACAATGTATCGCAAGGTTTTAACAACATGATTTATTACTTCCGGGATTCCATCCCTTAACATCAATAACATCCTTCACAAACAATGGAAACATAAAGATTGGCAAAACACCATTTATGTTTATTTCAACAATAATGGGACAAACAACAGGAAATTATTAACTCATTTGCGTTTTACCTCTTATTTTCCATCTCTAACCGATGTTTTTGACGATTTTAAGATATTGCTTAAAATGTATTTGTAAAGAAACAATTTATATCATCAAAATAAAAACAAACAAACAAGCAAATATGTACGAGGAATTTCTTATTGAAATCTTGATACTTTGATACTTTCCACCGGGACAAACAGCTCCATATGTTAGCGATATACAAACCCAAAAGTTGATTTCGTGACGTCATATGACGTCAAATAGATACATAACCACTAGAAATATAGTGTTAAAGATGACATTACAACAACAGAAACAGTAACATGTATCTACTGTCCACAAGTGGTTTATATTTATCTCTAAACGACTGGAATAAGACCAGTTAGAAGGGTGCTATCTCAAGTCAAGTCGACGACCTCAACTGCATCGACCATAAAGAGATTTAATTAGTAAGAATACAATATGGATCAATTTACGGGAAAATCAATCAAATTTTGTGTAAATCAATTGAATGTTAAAAAACTATTAATTGTGCGAGGCCATGAAATGAGTAAATCAATAGGATTTGTAAAACTCAATTAAATTTAGGAGTTAATTACGTGTTATTTCATCAAATGTAGGCGTTAGTTCGACGTGTCAGTCAATTTAATTAAATAAATGTTATAGTTAATTAGAGGTACAATCATCTAAATGTATGATTCAATTAACTATCAGACTCGATTTCGTTTTAATCAATACGGCTTGATCCTTTTCAAACAATGCTACTGACTTCTTAAACTTCAGCATCAGAACACCTGTATATACCTCCATTAGGAACAAGGGCATTTAAAGTTCCTTTAACATTTTTCTATAGCAATCATGGTATAAATAAAATGAGATATCTACATGAAATAATAATAACTGGACGTTCTTTTAAATTAAAGAATATCACAAGATTTTCTAACGCTGATTGCAGCTTTAATGTGTAAAAATAAACATGTTAAACATGCTAACTACTAACATAAAACGTAAATAAAATGTCGCGGTACGGGCGACCTACGTGTTTATTCAGAGACATAACTAAACAGAACCTTATTCCGGTTTGGACAGAATCAAATTCTACATTTTATCAAGATTTGAGTGGCTATCCATGGATCTGAAAAATGAACACAATCTGATTCAATATATGAAAATAAAATTTAGTACATGTATGTGATTTTGACATTATGCTCAATTTTCAAATTTCATTCCCGTCATAAATTATATCCGAAATAATCCACAACCGCAACTTTTTCCTGTTTATTTTGTTTTATATTATTTCAATCTTGATTTGTCATATATCCGTAAGGTATTTGGTTTCAAATGTTATACTTCATTAGTTAAATTGAACACAAATTAATACATCTGAAGTCAGACGTTTTACAGTAATAAAGATTGTACCATATATCAATCAACGAGGGGCGGTTAAACTGCCTATTTCATTTTAATTTCAATGTCATTTCCATTAACTTAATAACAAAAGTCGATCAAGATATGTTGACCACTCAATAACAGGATATGATTTTCTTACTATCTCTATATATAGTGCGTAAGAAATTATAAACGGTGCCATGTATTGTAGGAGGAGGGAGTAAGAACAAGTTTTGGTTATCAGATCAAAGCTGTTGATAAGTAACAATACTTATATCAGTAAGAGTTTTTAACAAGACACGAACAGGGAGAAGTTCTCATACTGATATCTTCAGAGCATGGAGATTTAAGGCTTGATGGGGGCGTAACATTTGAAATCTCCAAATCATAGCCGTCTAGTAGTCTAAACACCTACATATCATTGACAGAAGTCAAGAAATCGTCATTTTTAAAGTTCTTATAAACACAGTGCAATTCATCTTCAACCGATATGCATCAATGTAATAGCTATATTGATAGAAAAACAGATTGGCTGCCCCGTGTCTGATTTTGCACAAGAAATAACGGAAATGGCTGCCACATCAGAAGATAGATTGCCTTTGGTGAGCAGTCTGCAGTTTGGTCACGTGCTGGTAGATTTTAAGGGCAGGACCTAGCCTCAGAGACAGGCCTGTGAGTACATCACTCCTTTTCATCAGTAAAAGTGACTGACCGTCAATCTCCTGAGGAATGAAATAATAAGTGTTCATTTACTATCGAAAGCTGTCAAAATCGTTCTTCGAACAGTTCCGTATCCGATCATTGTACTCTCAATGTGAATTCAAAATTCTAGTTTTTAAGGTAACGACAATCTAATATCTAAAATTAAACGTAATGCATTCAATTTTAGACCCTTAGCATCAATGACGAGTCCTAGAAGGACGAAACGACTGCATGATGTAGCATCACTGACAAGTCCTAGAAGGACGAAACAGCTGTATGATGTAGCATCACTGACGAGTCCTAGGAGGACGAAACAGCTGTATGATGCAGATTGATTCATTGTTTGGCTCTATTGTATCTCAATCTAAATTATGAAAAGGTGATATTCACTAATGTGTCTTTAAAAGCGGATATGTTTTATTACTTTAATACCACATAAAATATAGGTTTGTCGAATTGCGACAACTCTTGCAAGTGAAACTGAAGGATTGTATTTTTCAAATCCCCATCTTCCATCAAAACAACATCACCCCACCTCTAATACCTGTTCACGGAAGGCGTCTGCTTGCTCCTTAAACCCAATGGACTCAAAAAAGGTGACCACTTCCTCAATTGACCAACGGGAGGCGTCTGGATAATGGCTAGCATCTGGCCTGGACATAGCAGTTTTAGCCAGCTTGACAAACACTGGAAGTCTGAGGCCATGAAAGAAAAAATCAGCAAACATCAGCCATGCAAAATGTTGGAAACATAATTACGACAAAACACGAGGACTGATTGATAAGTTGTGAACATTGTGACGAAGAAGTTAAGCAGGGATGTCCATTTTCAGCTGGAGACTGGAGTCATGTGGCCAGTTTATGTCGAAGAGGTAGCGCTCTAAAGTGGAAAAAGCATGTGACTTTTGCAAAATGGACAAATTGCTGAAAGAGCAGTGATTCAATATTTGCATATAAAAGGTCCAGCACCTATGGATATCCATACTAATATAGCAGCAACACTAAGGATAGATACTGAAGGGGATTATGTTGAAAATTTATGAAATATGTCAATAGTGAAACCCTTAAATATGAGACTCACAACTTATCAATCAGTCTTTGTATATTTTTTATTTTAGTATTTAGATTAAACAATATTCAATAACAAGGAAAGCACATATTATAAGTGCCATACAGTTATGGTTTGAAATCAAGTACAAAGTCTCCATATTTCTATACAAAAGAAAAAGCTGGTAAGACGGCCGAGTGATACATGTAACAGAAAAAACGAAATAGGAGACGAAATAAGTCAGGAAAGAAAGCACAAAATTTAGAACATCATCACTGCAAAAACTTATATATAACTACACGTTTGTTTATTGGTAAAAACATTTGATACAGGATAAAGCTTTTAGAAAGACAAGCACTGAACTGGCATATCAAACTTCCTTGAGAAGGTTTTCATGATTAGGAGGAGGAAGCCTTCACCACTGCTTTCCTAATCGTTGGTAGTTAGCGGCCTAGTTGTGATTATACATTAAACAAAAGCCAGAAAGAGTCAATCTCTAGAGAATGGAAAATATTTATCATTCTGAAAATTCTCATTATTAACATCACAACATCACTTCATGAAACAAAGTATACATAGTGTTCAATTTTGGAATGTTTTAGTAATCCCAATAAATGATGGAATCGAAATTCTTCAGCTGCTAAAGACCAAACCTTCGTCACAGTCGATTTTCTTTGATAATTAATTAAAACTGAAATGCGGTCTATAGAGACATTTATGTTCAAACCTCAACTCTCACCACTTGTATTTGTTACAAGGAAACAATTTAGGGGAAAACTGTGTTTCTACGTAACTAGCCTTAAGATCGATATTGTTTGTGTTAGAGCATAGCAATATACATGAAAATTGTCTCCATTTTCTGTCTCATTACACAAAAATTTCTGTTTATTTCTATTTATTATTTTATCATTTACCACACTGTCTATCAAAAACTATTTGTCATTTAATGAGGATATCATGATAAAATCCGAAAATACTGAAATCTGCTGAGGTACCACGTCACAGAGCAACTGCACACATCTGCTATTGAACAGGAATGACCTTGGTAACTTAATTTCATGTTGACGTCGATAGGGATTACGCTTGAGGTATTAAGGTAGATTTAAACATGCTTTTCGCATTCACGCACCTGTTGTCAAGGGTTTCATGGTCGTGAACGGGGGAATCGCACGGCGTTGGTAAACCGGAAGTTGTGCTACAGCCGGCTGTAAAGTAAAGCAATACAACAACGATGTATCAATATTTTTGATACTGTAAACGTACTTAATTTGACGCCATCAAATTTCAGCACATTATCACTTTTACGGAAATAAGCACAATGAATAATCAGCGCATCCATCCATAATAACTGTTAACTGTTAGTAAATTTATAGATACTACAAATAGCGCAATCAGATCTTAGCGTAATGCGTTTGGCGCGAAAAACGATTAAAGCGTTAAAAATGTAACTGATACATTCATCTTCGAAACATGTTACCGTACCCGTGAAGTATGTATTTTTTCTTATTTAAATTTTTATTAACTCAAGATACACATATTTCATTTGTACACAAATTTCTATAAAACGGACACCTGTGTAAACCGGCTTAATATTTAGGTCCGAGTTAAGACAGGTCGTACCGTATTTTACTCCATCTCTAGCAAAAGATTTTTACATCAAAGTGAATTTATTTGTTGCATCTAATTTTTTTTTTTGGCTGTCAGAATTAAAATGACACAATGCAAATGTTCTTTATACATGCCCGACGTTGGCCGAAATATGAATACTTCGGCTTCTTTCACACAAAAACAACTATATGAAAAACGTTCCTGATTCATCCCTGCGTTCCGCTCATATTTTTGTCACTCTCGATATATACAATTTCTGGAACCCTTGGATTTCGAATGTGTAAAAGAAGGCGATGTGGAAGGATAACAAGTATTACAACACTAGCGTGTGTATTAAGATATCACCCATGCTTCAATAAATTCGATTACTGTATTCATTTTGATCACATGGGAGCTGTACCGTGAAGCAGATATGGGAACATCCATGACAGACGTTCCATAATAAATTGTTTTATGAGTAGCCCGAGTAGTAACGCATAAATACTGTAGTTCCCAGGTATTTGTTTCAAGTGTGCTGTGACAGGCTATATCAACAGCTGACTGGAATCGACATCTTTTGCATGTACAGTTGTGATGAGTTCATAAACTGGTTCATAAACTTTGTATCTGTATTTGTATCACACTATGATAATGTGCAAATCATATAATTTCAAATTATGACTACAAAACTCAACATCTGACCTGTTTACGTTATCATACCACAAAACACGACGAGATATTTAAATAAGAATGTAACACACAGCTTATTGATTTGTTTTTATTTCCTCACAAGTCACTGATTTTTACTGATTTCGTGTTCTACATTTTAATGTTTATACAGATATATAACAGATAAAACACCGTGAATAGTGTAAAGTAGCTCATCCTGTATGAAAGAATCTTTATCCATTCCATCTTCTCTCATCCGTGATATGTATTCAAACACATGGAACAGATTAACTCTTGTCAATTATTCAGTAGACATGACGTAAATCGGATTTACTTTAAATGCAATACACTTCGCGTGAGAGTAGACACTGCAAACCATTTACTTCTGCTGTTTAAATTCTATCGTGTCTCATTACAGCCTATTAGTACACCCTTCCGTTCATAAGAATAAAAAAACAGGAATTCGATTACACAGAGGTAAACATTTTTGTTTATTTTTTTTTTTTACATGTTTTGCATATCACGATATGACATTTGAGTCACAAACCCGGTAACAACCAGGTATAAGATGATATCACGCAGCCTATCTATCATAGCTGTATCAGATTAAGACATATGACTAAGCGAAACTTACGTGTGTTGTGTGAATGATCAATATGGCCGACTTCCGGTTTCGTGTCGACATTCGGAGTTTCTATATCCGCCATGGCGACGCCCTGTTCCGTGCATTCTGAACATATCCATTTCCCTAAAATAATTCAACATTTGAAATAAAAGTGACATATTTCCTTATTTGCACATTTTACAGACCGGTCTCTGTTCAAATATACTTTCTGAAAACACCACAAAGCATGTTAAACACGTGGATTAGTATAGCGCTTACTTAAACCTGATTCGATTTTTATCTATGCATTCTCTTGTTTCGAAATACCACAAAACGTATGATTGTTTAAAAAGCTGTTTGACACGATTGAGAATGGAAACGAATATTAATATAGTGAATTCTTGGTAATTCAGATTAAGATATGGTGATTAAGATATAAAAATCAACTTTGAACAACTTTTTGATACACCGTGAGGTAAACTCCGCTTTATATGTGGAAGAATTAATTCTAGATACAGAATTATGTAGGCATTCACGCGCTACAGAAGCCTATAGGAGTAAACCAGATTATCGAGTAATACCGTGATAACTAATTAAGTTCCTGGTCCAACCATAAAGTAGGGATTATTACCGTAAACATCGTAATTAAAAAGAGGGGATGAATGAATTAAAGAAAGATTTATACAAAAACAAGAAAAATAAGGTCACGTGTTCCGGAACAGTAAGTTTCTTTTATTTATTTATTATTTATTTTCGACCTGGTATGTAATACCACGTTCTCGAATACGAACACGGTTCATAACGAAACCACCAGCCCTACCAGTGAGAATCAAACACCTCATACCTCATGCCACACAGGAGTTATGTCTTTACGACTAACTTTACTGACTAACATAAGAATTTCCCATAATCTTCATCAACATGCATCTCTCGAACCCCGTGTTGTTAGTTTACATGTCAGCTATCGACATATTTCACAGAAGTCGTGATAATGTGATCATGGCAGAAATCGATGACTAGTAAAACGTGTCGAGTGCTGCTCAATGTTTGTCTGCGGTACGCATGAAACCAGGAAACAAATATCAAAACGACGCTGATGGTTTATATTTCCAGGAATATGTTTTCCTGGTCAAGTGTGTGAAACGGAAATGTTCATTATCATTACTCAAGTGGTCGGGCAAGTCACCCCGTACTTTTTTTCACGTCCGCTTGGGGAATCAACGAAAGGTGAGAGCGTTACCACAGAGCCATCTGAACACCCATTGCCTACAAACGTTAATTTGACATTGCTTCATCAATTACCAAAACCTGACAGTGCATATTTGATAGGACGAATAATCATATTCCTAAGGAATGTGATAGCTCCGTCATACCTCTATATAATGTTGAACAGATAAAAAAGACAACCACAATTCTAAACAACACAGTTTATTCTCCATGCATAGCAATGAAAAGATGCAGAGATATGTAAATATATGTACATACACGAAGACTCTCCGTTAGTTTACAGGCGGCCAGACTGATAGCGCGCTGAATTTAGAGGCGTGTGATCCAGGCCCGCACCTGCCCCTATCCAGGGGGGGATGAGGGGGTATGGAATTTGTTCTCTACGTTTTTAGTTTCTTTATTGAGTCGATAGAAAAAAATCTTTCACTAAATTGTATTTCAAACAAAATGTTTATATAAGTGCAAAAAGCGAGTTATATTCTTTTTTCAACCGAACATTCAAGGACACGTCCGCCAAACCCACAAGGCACCAAGTGGATACACGAGTAAAACATTCTGCAAGTACCTATGGTTGAAACTAAATACAACTGACAATGCTGTACCATTATCTAAGGAAAATGAATGAAAGAAAAAATTACTAACCTGAAGGTTTATCTAGCACCTGCGGTTTGTGGCAGTTCATGTGGTATCCTTTGTCGCAAGCATCGCAGAACAGCATTGAATCCTGTCAAAATATCACGTATTGATTATAAATTACAAGTTATAGTCATTTCTATCCTTAATCATGAGAAAGATACAATTTACTAAAAAATAATGTTGAAGTATAGCAAAGTAATATATATCAATTCCCTCCGTTTGGAGTCGATTAGCGGTTGTTAACTTGTATATGTAAAATCATCCATCCATTTGCATCCATCCATTTCGTATTTTTGTGGTATTTTACTTAAAATCAAACATTGTATATATTCATGCTAAGCAGTTAATCAATGAATAATTAAACGTTAACCAGAGGTCAAGAGGAACCTACATATGAAATATAAGAAAGATCAATCGAGTACTTTTCACGAAAAAGCCAAAACAAACTTCTTTGGAAAAAATCCAAGATGGCCGCCTGTCAGCCATTTTGTTTTTTATGATCGGTCCCAAAATCCAACGGGCACAACTAGGGACTAAGGGGAACCCATTTTTGAAATTTGAGAAAGGTTCATCCAGTACTTCTAAAAACAGCGATAGCAAAATTGTTAACGGACGGACCACGGACGTATGACGATTTTCATCAGATGGTGGGCTAATGATGTGACAAATGTAAACTTTGATACCCATTGTTATTACGAAATTGGCTGAGGTCTTTTCTTCGCGAGAGCAAAGTGGGTCAATGCCTAATGCTGAATAGCGACATTCACGAGTAGTTGAATAATAATATAAAATGGATAAATGTCACCTTTAGTCTTACAAAATGTGGTAATACCAGGATTTCTGGTCCCTAGGATTTATTTCAATACGTGTGCTAGGAATGTAAGGGTAATCTTTTGACCTACATTCACTTACAAAAAATTTAACAAAAAGTACACAACAGTAGTTTCTGTGTTTCGAAACCAATATGCAATGGTCACCTGCTAGTCCTAGCAAGCACACAGATAAGGAGGATTTTATAAATTGTTAATAAAATATGTGGACACCAATTCTATAATAACATTAATAATGACATTTTTCTGTAAGTTACGAGCTTGAAAAACCATTCAAAATTGTTTTAATAAAGAATCGGAAGTTTGATCAACGGAGACAATTTCAATACCCCTCCCGATTTCCGATCGCGGTCGGAAAACATAGGTCTGACAATAGAAAAGAAATGAATGATCACTGTTTTCCCGTCTTCTTGTAGTTAAGGTTACTATTTTACATATTTCATTGATTACAGAATCATTCAAATCTGGTCAGTAGCAAAGTCATCAGAAACTTGTTCTACAAGGATTCTTAATAATTATGATACTCTATGAAAAAATTAGTCAGTTAAGGGAACTGCTGTTGGAGACAAAAAATCGACATGCTGATATGTTTCAAAATCTAGCGACGCAAGTCGCATCAAAATGAAGCAGAGAGGATCTTTAATTATGTCAATATAAACCCAATGGACACATTACATGCGAAATCGACAAGAAAATCTGATACCCTTGAAATTTTAACGATGTTGGATAAATATTCTAAACGCTATATTTCCACTGCATCATTATGCAGTTTATCCTGAATCGAACGTCAGTAGCGATCAAATTTCATAAGCAACCTTTCTTAAAACCATACGTAAAGTCGCGACGCTGATAATGGATATATTGATTTTTATCATTCTATGAAATCTACATCGCTCCAAGAGAGTGGAAATCTACAGAGCTACAACTTTTTAATCAATATCAATGGGTAAGTATCCTTATTTTCGCTCACTCCCTAGATACTATGACGTATGTCTTTGCGTTGACAATATTTTATTCAGTATACAAGCATACAAATATCTTTTATTGTTCCGATACCAATCTGTACCAGCACACGTCAGAATACAAACTAGTATTTTGTTACGCTGTCTAACCTTATTGTACAGTTAAAAATCTGCAATTTGAAGGCGTATATAGATTGTTTTACAAGGGTTCACGGTTTTACGAATAACATTAAAGTATATATTATTATGGAAACCATGAGGTCGGCTATAGTCTTCAATTGTTTAATATCTATTATAGCAATTCTGAAATGAAAAACAGAACATCTGTACACTGACAACATATACAGCAGTTAAAACCAGTCATCTTAATTTTATTCATCTTAATTTTATTATCTCTACATGAAATAACTTCACCTTTCTCGAGGACCACCCCCCTCTCTCTCTCTCTCTCTCTCTCTCCCTCTCTCTCTCCCTCTCTCTCTCTCTCTCTCTCTCTCTCTCTCTCTCTCTCTCTCTCTCTCTCTCTCTCTCTCTCTCACACAGGTCGCTAGACGCGCGCGCGCGCGCGCGCGCGCGCGCGCGCGCGCGCGCGCGCGCACACACACACACACACACACACACACACACACACACACACATAGGTCGCTAGACTTACTCGGTCCGCGGATTCTAGACAGAGGGTACTAGAGAGACTCACTGGCCCCCCCCCCCGAAATCCAGACAGGGAATCCCTACCCTGCGCTAGAGATAAACTTTGTCCCCGTGGTCAACGCAGAGAGAACAAAACCTCCCTCGTGCTAGCGACTTACTGGAGGCCTGGAATACAAACATATGGTGATAGACTTACTGGGTAAGCGGAATCAAGACAGAGGGTATTAGAAACTTACATGGTTCCTGGAATCCGGACAGAGAGTCCCTACCCTGCGCTAGAGATTTCCTTTGCCCTTGAGGTACATGCAAAGGGAAACCAACCTGCCTCAAGCTAGAAAATTACTGGGGCCCTGGAACAAACATAGGACGCTAAACATACTGGGTCCCGGAGTCCAGATAGTGGGCATTAGAGACTTACTGGGTCCCCGGAATTCAGATATAAGGTCCTTGATCCGCACATAACACTTACTGGGTTCCCGGTGTCCGTAAAGTCCCCATCCCCTTACCCATCCACTCTCCTTGCGTTATCTTAACACTTACTGGGTCCCCGGAGTCCAGACAAAGACAGCAAGTCTTGCAGTCCATACATTGCCAGGGATACTGACTGGCTCGCTGTGCCAACACTTGCGAATATTCCATACATGTCGGATGAGCTGAAAACAGGAATAAAAAACGTATACTATTTTGTCAATCATAGATTAAAAGTTAAACTTAGCTCTTATTATTCTGTGTATTATACTACATGTCACCATGCCTATGAATCAAACTCCAAAATAGTGTTTCCTTCTGAAAAGACAAACCATACTTTTATATCAATATCTTTTTTATATTGCAAAGTTATGAAAACCGATATTTTCATAGGCCGATCAGTGTAAGGCAGGTTCACAGCCACTGATAAACCGGTAATCTCATTGGCCGATCAGTGTAAGACATATTCAGAGTCATTGATATACCGGTATTTTCATTGGCCGATCAGTGTAAGGCAGGTTCACAGTCACTGATAAACCGGTAATCTCATTGGCCGATCAGTGTAAGACATATTCAGAGTCACTGATATACCGGTATTTTCATTGGCCGATCAGTGTAAGGCAGGTTCACAGTCACTGATAAACCGGTAATCTCATTGGCCGATCAGTGTAAGACATATTCAGAGTCACTGATATACCGGTATTCTCATTGGCCGATCAGTGTAAGGCAGGTTCACAGTCACTGATAAACCGGTAATCTCATAGGCCGGTCAGTGTAAGACATATTCAGAGTCACTGATATACCGGTATTCTCATTGGCCGATTAGCGTAATGCAGGTTCACAGTCACTGATAAACCGGTATTCTCATTGGCCAATCAATGTAAGGCAGGTTCACAGTCACTGATAAAACGGTAATCTCATTGGCCGATTAGCGTAAGGCAGGTTCACAGTCACTGATAAACCGGTAATCTCATTGGCCGATCAGTGTAAGGCAGGTTCACAGTCACTGATAAACCGGTATTCTCATTGGCCGATTAGCGTAAGGCAGGTTCAGTTTTGTTTACTTGGCATCAAACGGATTCCATTAAACATTCTCTTAAAAATCATGTTATATCTTTCTATCAAATTTTGATATTCCTGCTCATTTTCAATAATTGAATTCATGCGATCTTCAATACGTTTTCATATCTGTTATTGAAGACATGTGCAATATTCACACATCTTACCTGTATAAAATTTGAAGTCAGGTAAAGGTTGACAGATGGACGGACGGACGGATAGACGGACGATAAACGCCACGACAGACAAAATGAAATAATAAAGTTTACGACAAACGTAATTTAGGTATCAGTTAACAAGTCGAGTTACACCATGACTTCTTCATAAAGAAGAAAACCAGTTTGCTGAATTTCAAATTAGATGTGTTTCTAAATTTATAAACCGTCTATAAAATGCCTCGGAAAACAACCACCCACGTTATGGTTAATTCACCAAACGTAATATACTTGGGAAAAGGTTTCGCTAACATTTATCGCCCACGTGTGTGAAACACGCAATAATTACCAACAATTAGACAAGAAAACAAAGCTGTTTGCTGTCGTGAATGATAAAATTGTAATACTGATGCTGAGAACGACTTTCATTTCATGTCCTAATCATTAAATAACTAGCGAGTAATGATCTCGGTGAAATAATGTTAAATTTTTATTATCCTACTAATATAGAGATATATATGATACCTCTGTATACAGAACCGCGCCTTCCTAGAACTCCCATTTACAAAATGATTAATAAGCTGATATGAACGTAACTACAGTACATTGCAACCACACAGATTTTATATTTTAGTACTCTTCTGGTCATTGCACGGGCACCATTAGGTTAGAACTCTTGTTGACCTGGCGATGTCCGTATTGTTTGTAATAGCAGAGAATAGACAAGGTCATTTATGTTTATGAAACTTCTGAGTAACAAGTTATTTATTGGAAAAAAATTCAACAAACAACCCACCTACAAAATAACTACTAAAGGTTAAGAATATAACCAGTCTTTCATTTTACAAGGTTTCAAATTAAGATAATTTTCATTTGTAATGAGGCCGTGCGAGCTTATTCCAACGCTCAACACAGCAGTTTATGAGGTCAATATCAGTCTGTGTCTTGTTAATTACATTAATTCTACTTCATGACTGACAATGATGCTTCCAAATCAATTCATACAAAAAAAATATAGTTTTGGAGAAATCAACAATGAACGACAAAAGGTTAATGCAACGTGTTCATTTGTTTTAGCTTAACTACATTTAAAAACAGATTTTGTTAATCTCCGAAGACAAAAGAAAAAAAAAGAGAAAAAAAAACCCAGATATTTTGAATCTCATTTGCAACGATGCTTGATACAGGACATTGTACACTTCAGCAGCAAAAGTGCATAGAAATCAATACTGGCATAGTATCAAGTTAAACTGTACGAGTTGATAATGGCTGATTATTTCAAACGGTATGAGTTGTTGATAATGTCTGATCATATTAAACTGTATGAGTTGATAACGGCTGATCATATTAAACTGTATGAGTTCATAATGGCTGATTATATTAAACTGTATGAGTTGATAATGTCTGATCATATTAAACTGTATGAGTTGATAACGGCTGATCATATTAAACTGTATGAGTTGATAATGGCTGATCATATTAAACTGTATGAGTTCATAATGGCTGATCATATTAAACTGTATGAGTTCATAATGGCTGACTATATTAAACTGTATGAGTTGATAATAGCGGATTATATTTAATTGTATGAGTTGATAATGGCTAATTATATTAAAGTATATGAACGACTGCTATATTTTCCAGATCTATAGTGAAAGAAAAATGTAATTAAGACCAAATCGGAACATGCTGCTTTCCTTAAGTTAAGTGAAATCATTTCTTTCATATTTCTTATCACAGCACACTGGATATGGTATTAATCGTGAATATAAATTGAAAAAAATAGACAATTATGAAGTGATTGAAATTTAAGAGAGCACAACAGATAAGTAAGCAGTTACGCGAGATATGCCATCTGTTAGTGAATTAAAACTATCACATCTTAACCTTCATATCGATCTATCGTTTTTACATTACATCATACAGATCGATAACCACAGACACAGATACACAAGCCATACATTGTCAAATCTTGAACATATTTTCACACCAATAGTTTAAGAAAGACTTTGACAGAATTGATACATTGAATCCTTGATATCTGTACCTCTAGCACCGCAGTCTTTGCAGACAAGCAGATCTTCTGGTTGTCCGAGCCGATTCTGTCTGGACGTCTGCTTACAGTAGTCGCACCACAACGAGGCTTGCGGGATGTTCGCTGCCACATTCCAAGTCACAGGGGGCTCGTAACTGTAAAATCTTTTGAGTTTCTGGCGAAACAAATTGATCAAGTTGATCAACAATTGAAATTTTGGATATATCTTAAACAGTTTCATGTCAAATGTCGTAGCAATTCATCGTGATTTCAACAAATGGCATAAATTAACTGAAATTTCAACAAACCTGACCCTTGTGACTTTAGGAATAAGTTTTCATTGAACGTGGGTCTCGGTAGTTAACGAGGAATGCTTTTGTCCAGTACACTAAGTTATCTGTATGTGAAATAATTTGGAACTAGATGTTGTAGTTCTGATTTAACCGGGCTGACTTTAGGAGGGAGTCAAAGTCTCTTCTCTGGGGAAAAATACCCATATTAAGCGATGTAACACATAACATGACATTAGGTAGAGTGTTCCACAAGAAAAAAGTTGCTCAAATGAAAATTTGACAACAAAGTCAGTAAACATAAAATTATATCTAATAATCATTTTCTTCGAGTCAGTGAGTTTTCTGCTGCGAGCATGAGGTAAATCAAACATCTAAACTTTGTAAAACACCTGTGGTTTACAACATATATAGGTGATAAAGTAGGTCAGTCTGGACCAAATGAAGAATGTACTTCTGTAACAGTCACAAACACAAGGCAATTTTTCGTTTAATTTTAGTTAAAATAAGTTTTCCTATCAGGATCGATAATTTTCTATGATGTATGAAAGTCTAACTTAATTGAATGAAAAAAAAATCATTAAAGATAAATTTAATGTTTAGCCACAAGCTGATATTCCATGGTCGTTACAGAAAACTTCATTTGTAAATGGAGATCGTTTATAGCTCGTGGAACCATGATTTCCGATCGTATTTTCTGGCCATGGGTTACTTCACTTGTTTACGAAATCACTTCAGAACTTCTCTAATTGGCTTTAATTTAATTAAATTTTCAAATAGATTTTCGAATTCTGAATTTCGAAAACTGTTAAATTCTGTCAAATACTTCGCATTAGCTGTTAATAATGAATGCATCTGTGTTGTCGTTCAGAGAATATAAAACCCCAAACAAACAGCAAATAAATCGACATTGCAAAATATAAACCCATTTATCTATATCAAGCGTTCTTCATTCCCAATCCATTAGTTCAAACATATCTGGTTTCCCGGGATGACGATTAGCCAAAAAATGTCTATGTTTTTAGTTTTCCGACCGTTCCGTTTTTGTTTACTATTTTTGTCCCTATGATTTTTCCCCTTCCGACCCTATTTCTTCTGGCGAACTTCTGGCAAAAATATTATTCTACAATCTCCGTGTTGATTTTACTTATACTAGGAGCCTGAGGCAAATTTAGGGAAGATAGTGGTTGCCAGAACATCAAAAGTAACTGGAACGTTAGTTAAGTTGTTATGGTTGGTGTAAGAATACCTTTTTATTTTGGTAGTTGTCAATCTAAATCAAATGCCTATCATCCTACTTCTCCGTAAATACAATATATCATTTTCCCAAATCCGACAGCATAGGTATTCTGACATTTTATGAACATGATAAACTTTAGTCCTAAGTGTTCTGACAATCATAACCGCGGTTCTATTTTTATCTTCGTGCCTCCATAAAAACACGATATTTTAGCGACCCGTGTATAGATCGGCATTCGGGCAATATTCTATAGAGTTTAAAACAGAGCGATATATATGAATGATACATCAGTAGAAATGTAAATCATGTTCTGCTAACGTGCACGTGTCAAATCATAAATCTCCGAATACACACACGCGACACTTACACAAACCTGACACATGGGTACAAATCAATATATCAATATGGCTACTTGTGAAGTCAGTGTTAAAAGCCAGCAAACTTTCTTTTAAAAAATCCAAATAAAAAAATGCCTACCTACTGCCCAATATTTTCTTTTCAAATAGAAATCGGACACGGACGTTTTTCCCCCTTACATTACTGAAGATGAGATAGTTATTCAGGTTGAGTGTTTACGTGGTCGGTGTATGGTCGACAACTTTGATCCCGGATGTCGAGTTTTACTGTGAGATAAACAAGCTATCAGCGACACGTATGTAAATAAAATGATTACTGCGTCATAGTATTATTGTTAATCAGTAACATATTTACAATCCTTACCCGATAACTATCATTGCATTACACAAATAAATTCACTTGGGACCATAAAAGTTATTTTAGGCGCTAGGCATTCATTTCTAGACATATTCTATTGACTATATAAACGATATTTTTTTCTAAATAAGAGTACATATGCAGCATAGTTAGTGTTTCTCGTAATATTTAACCGACTTTGAATGAACGCAGACCAATTAACACGCGTTCTGTTTACATTACACAATCACGTTATTTCTGGCGACTTAAATAGAGTCGATGGTATTTCTGTGAATGAGACACGTAACCAGGAATAAAAAAAAGAACAATCACATGAAAATGGATTTTGGCAGGTATCGACAAGTCAAACAACACAGTAAGCACTTGTAGAGACGTGAACAAACTCAAGTACATTATCGGAGAAACCACTTTCCACGAGAATTACATCTCTCGATAAAATGCACGTGACTTACAGTGTCATTGTAAGAGATGGATTGGATTTTCAGGTTTATATTTAAATTCTAAATTGAACGTGTCTCGACTGTGCAGATCCGATTATGATGTCGTATGAAGATTAACTGGCCTCACTACATGTAATATACACCACAGTAGCACTGAGCAACCCTCATACATTCCAATTAAGATCAAATCACCTGGTATGATATTTGATTTTGGTAACGTAAGACAATAAAGGCATCTAATTGTGAAAATTTAAGAAATGTCAGAGAGAACATAAAACTCTACGTGTTATTGGTCTTGTGTCTGCGTTCTGGTATTACTAGACTTAGAGCGTTAATGCATTGTACTTGTACATCTTAATTCTAAAGACGACGACATTCAGGATTAATATTGATCAGTTTGGGTAGCATGTTATACTTTATTTATTTATTTATCAAACGGGTTTTACGACCACCATTACGGCCTTCCACGACGAATGCTATACTGTAATTTTCAGATCATTTATATGACCCACGATGCCTTCACGAACAACAAACAGACCCACCTGTTCTGCAGCTTATAAGGAAACGGCATCATTTAAAGAGTTTATTTTGGTAATTTTCGTTTTTATCCCAAACACCATATCCCTTCTTTAAATTATATGTGTTTAACGCCAAAACCTCATGAAGCTGAAGGCCCTTGCTTATTAAAAAGATGCATTTGGTATCTGTGGCCTTGAAATGGGTCTAAACTATTCGATTGAATGCACGTGCTAGCATGTCACAAGCCAGTATCAATACTCAGGGCTTCGTGGTTACTGACAAAACGTTTTAAGGCCTCAACACATTTGCCAAAGATGTTAATACATTATATCATTGTAATCTTAAACATGGACTAATCAATCAAGGTCAGTAATTTGAACAGGCTTAGCTGACCTTCATCCCAGCATTACCTCGTGTAATATAGCCCGTGACGTCAGGATTATATACTTAGATGACGTCACACATTCGCATTCTAATTGTAATGTAACAATGGAGAAATATGACCAATAGGGCTTCAAAACTGACGCAGAAAAGTACGTTTTCTACTTTTTTGCCAAAATATCTTATCGTCTGATAAAAAGGATCTGAAATGTTTTCCAATCAAGAAACAATTCCAGAATTCACCAGAATTTTATATCACTTAAGTTCGCATTTGAAAAAAAGAGTTGTAGGGTCTATTCATAAATCACGTGTTACGAAAACGTTGAATTTTCTTTCAGAATATTTTTTCACGTCGCACATTTGATTTAAATCGACACCTTTTTTGGATGGCTCATTTTCGTCACAGCTGTTATACACGTGTACCAATCTGTATAACGCCTCTGATTGTCGCCAGGATTACGTATGTTTTCATAGATCTATAATTTATTGATCCCTATATATAGCGTGTGGGTGTAGAAGTCTCAAGGATATTTCAAATCATATCATTCTTAAATCATGTTGTCTTGGTGAAATCATAATTTCGTGGTTATGGATCGAATATTATGTATCTATTTTTCATTGATTTTACACATTACTGATTTATGTGGGGTGTTTTTTTTTACAGAAATATGCATAGATGTGTGTGTACATATTCAATAAACAGGCTTCTGCTTGCTGTTCAAACTTATTTTCTACTTGGAAAATAGACACAAAGAAAAATATCAACAGTATTTTAGTACCGCTTCTGATAAATACCGCCAACATTTAAACCAGTCAAATTTCCATAGTTTACATCAACATTCTTCAGTGTAATGTCTATCAACGAGACTTTCCAATATCTGATAACATTAAATAAAAAAAAATCCCCGGTTTAAAACGGAGATGTCCCGAGAGAGTTTAATTCACGAATGACTCTTCAAATATTCATCCAGAAATATCGATCCCATAAAGATATTATTGATTTGTGGGGCGAAACTAAAGATATACACGATAGTCAGCTTTCAACAAAATATTGCTTATTTCGCTTGTACGATAAATGTACTTCCTTGTCATTGGTAGACACAGCGATCAGGAAAATACAAGGAGACAGCTCTCAATATACATCCAGACTCAAAGTATATCGATTATTTGCTATAAAAATAAACTAGGAAGTGGGTTACACATCAGCTGGAATGTTATATCTGAAACTGTAGCAGTAAACATTATTGACGGACCGGCTCTTAGGGCTTTTTCATGATAATTTGACGAGTTTGACAGAATAATTTGTCATGCGACACAAATATCTGTCGACAATAATTATCGAACCGATGTTGTTTTAACCAGTTAAAACAGACACTTCATAGCAAGGTTTGTCCATCTCGTAGAAATCAATAGATAGCAGGAAATGTACATCTCAAAATCTCCATATATTTCATCTCCAAAATTTCGCATCTTCTACCATTCTGGCTCTGGACTGTTAGGTAAATTCAGAGTTTGTACATAACAGGAAATGTTTTGTACTTTGTAGTGGGAGGTACTGAAATCCCGGATCATTGGCCCAACAGCATAGCATCTGTTGCTGGTAGATTTAATGTTTTATATGTGTGATATAGGATAGGAGAGAAAATCATTACCATAAAACATATATCTAATTCATTTGGTCTCGTAACGCAATCTTTTATTGTGCAATACATCGTGTTGGCTTGGATAAGGACTTTAAACACATATCACTGTCCTTTTCACGGACCTCCTAATACAATCTATACAACTGCGCAATACAATTTGTCGACTTGTATAAGGACCCGAAACACATATCTTTATTCATTTGGCCTCCAAATCCGATCTTTAAATTGCAATAAATTTTGTTGTCTTGGATAAGGACCTGAAACTCACATCATCGTCGTTTATATAGCAATACGTCATATGGACATAGAATAAAGACGCGAAACACATATCATTGTTGATTTGGCCTCGCTATGCAATCTACTATGACGTAATACATGTGATATGGTGGTAACAGCTTTCTAATGTAAATATTTGTAAAAATCGTTCAACCAATTGACACTCCGGTGGAATTTTAAAATTGTATGTTTTATTTAACCGAAATCCCATCACATAATCGTACAGGAAATTTGGTGTATGTGCCTTGAACTTGTATATAAAAGTAATTTGGATGCAGTTTATCAGTTATGGTGACGGCGGTCAATCGTACTTGTATTTCATCACTAACAATATTATCTTCCATTAAAAATGCATTTTACTGATCAATTCTGGTCGCGATAGCTATCCTGCAGTCCGATTAGTATTCAACGCGTTTCAATCGACTTTCAATATTAGTTTCCGATGGGCAGCGTGTTAGCCATAAGTTTGAAAATTTTGATTATTTTAATGGTACGACTACATAGTAGTTCGGAAAATGATTTTTTCTTTCAGATATCCCATTTTCTCTCTCGACCTATCATTAATGAGTTACTTAGATTGAATTCAACCAAAATTTTATCAAAAACCTGTAATTACACAAATAGTCCGATGTCAAGTACAAATATCAAAACGCTGAACATAATATTCAATTACTTAGGCATGACACGTATTACAAACTCGTGTAAACAAATATCGCTTTATTGATTCCGAGTCAGGAGTACTTCAACAGTTACGTAAAAACTTCGTTTTTGATATTTGATTTCTGTCATTCTCTGCTCTTAAACTGAATACAAGACCGCTTATGATACATGTCAACGACAACTTTATGAGAGAAATCTCGTTTACATTCTCGTAAATCTGTTTTAAATTCCTGTAACGTCCATCCTCACGTAAATCTGTTTTATATTCCTGTAACGTCCGTCCTCACGTAAAATCTCTTTGATATTCCTGTAACGTCCGTCCTCACGTAAACCTGTTTTATATCCCTGTAACGTCCGTCCTCACGTAAATCTGTTTATATTCCTGTAACGTCCGTCCTCACGTAAATCTGTTTTATATCCCTGTAACGTCCGTCCTCACGTAAATCTGTTTTATATTCCTGTAACGTCCGTCCTCACGTAAATCTGTTTTATATCCCTGTAACGTCCGTCCTCACGTAAATCTGTTTTATATATTCCTGTAACTGTTTTATATTCCGTCCTCCTCACGTAAATCTGTTTTATATTCCTGTAACGTCCTGTAACGTCCGTCCTCACGTAAATCTGTTTTATATTCCTGTAACGTCCGTCCTCACGTAAGTCTGTCTATATTCCTGTAACGTCCGTCCTCACGTAAATCTATTTTATATTCCTGTAACGTCCGTCCTCACGTAAATCTGTTTATTATATCCATTCTCACGACATCAGTCCCCAACTAAATCTGTTTTCTATTCTCACGACATCCGTCTTCGTGTAAATCTGTTTTGTATTCTCCTGAAATTCTTCTTCGTGTTAATCTGTTTTATATTGTCACAACATCCGTCCTCATGTAACTCTGTTTTATATTTTCATGACATCCGTGCTCAAAAAATTTTCTTATAAAGTCACACCCCCTCTGAAATCTGTTGAATATTCTCATGAAACCAGTCCTCAAGTTCATGTTTTTAAACTTTTAAACACAGAATATGTTTAAATATATAACCTTCATTCGACGTAGCAAGATACCTTCACGAGCTAGTTCGTTTCTTAATCGTTAACCGAAGTGAATTTGTTAAAATCAAACATAGGAAATATTGCTCGAAACTTTTGAATTACTCTCGGATACATTTTTTAACGTATTAAAATGTCCAGTATCACGTCACTGTAGAAAAAAAGACGGATAATGATATATCTCTGAAATCAACATTTTATCGGTCGCGGTACAGACACTGGTCCTCGAATGCTACACGTCACGCACGATCTACAATCAACCTGCTGTATGTACGTATAAAATAATCCTCTATTGAATTAATTAATATTTAATTACCGTGCAGCTTTTCAAAGCATATAAAAATCCATTTAGACTAAATTTTGAAAGGAAATCCAATCCTACAGCAATTGTGCGTTATCCGTCGATTTTTATTCAAATATGCAATATAACACGTGTAAAATAATACATCGTATCGAACATATTTCCTGAATACACCGGAAATACATTCCTAATGCGTACGTATTCGTAAAATACACATGTGTATAAGCTTATAGCTGAGATTGATACGTGTAGTACACATACATGTATCATGGAAGATCTGTGTTTGGTGACGAGATGTTAATTGCTTGATTCCCTCTTCCAACACGAGGAGGGGTGGGGTGGGGTGGGGTAGGCGGTGGGGGATGTGGGGGGGGGGGGGGAGGTGCTTGAGATGGATAATGACAAAACTGAAAATAGGGTTCTTATGTCCGCTATTTCACTTGACTAATCGTATACAAGTTTCAAAATATCGTCTGCATGATGGAAACGCAGTACTTGATTATGTGTTATTCCATGCATATCATGATTTCTTTAACGACATAATGAAAATTTCCAAGAGAAAAAAGGTGTTTAAACCGACACTATTTATCCAATTATCGACAGATTTCAAATACTTGTTTTTTTTTAATCATACTTTGATGCTTCAAAAATCAAATAAATGAATAACTATATAAAAACAAAATCGTCCTAGGTAACGAGTTGTTTTGATAGTTCAATATAAACCATCTACCTTCTAAAGGATTTCAATATACTATATATGTGTACTTTTAACACCGACTTGTTTACGTTTTCGTTTATTTACGAATGAGTTTGAAACTGAACCACATGGACATGAGCATTCGTTACAGTGCAAGCCAAAATATCCTTGACGTGTTAAGAATGTTATTCGATGAGAAAGATCTACATTTGGTAAAAAATACTTATCTTGATTTTTAAACAATTATTGACTTTATCTTCTCAAATGCTCCGTCATTTTCTAAACGGGTCAGGATTTATCCAAATCCATCTAAACTATTACCAAATTCCATGTCTCTGTGCTAAAGTTCTATCAAACGAATGTAATACGGAGTTGATGCGCGAATACGAGAATTGGAAAGTTCAACGAGTGTAAAAAACCAGCTTATCGATCGGCAAGCGTGTTATAGGCCGAAGCGATATATGCAATTCCTGGAACGCTTGAACAGACGCATAAACTGACGATTGAAATTGCTATCATCGCGAACAGCAATATATCTTCTGAAATGAAATCAACATATCCACGATGTGGCAGTAGCACACGTGGGACTTAAGACAACTTTAATATACAACTCGTCCACGTTTAGAAAGAGGGGGGATAACTTAAATATCATCCTCGGGTTTTATCCCAAATCGCTCCGAATCCTAATCATTAAGGTGGCACCTGAAAATCTCCCTGAAAATTCTACTTTTGATCGTTAAAATTAATGGAGCGATTGTCACTTTGGTAATATAAGCCTATCGATTTTACACCTATTTACCTTCTCGACTTCGTCCTCGATAGTAATGCTTTAATATAGCAACATTATCAAATACACAATCTATCTACTTTGGCATTGGGTCAAGGTCAAGGTCAGAAAGAAAGATATTGATAAAATATTCATAACATTCCGAGATTTTAACACCACCACAGAATATATCTTTAATAATTTAATATTGATTTCCCGTTTGTGTAGATAAACTAAGAAATTTGTTGGTCATAATTATTATCTTTATGATGTTTTTCGTTTAAAGGTATTTAAAACGCTTTGACAAAAGTTTTGGAGGAACAACACATAAATTATAATAACAATGATGAAAGTAAGCTGAAGCATTGCTTATTTCACTACTGTTTTCCGCATAATAAAATTCACGATACAGCCATATATATATCTCCCATTTTCTACTTTCTCAAAGTTTACAGCGGATAAAAAGTAAAATTTTCATGAAAAAATTAAAGAAAATAAAAAAACAAATTCAAAAACAAAAACAAAACAAAAATTACAAAAAACAAAGAAAAAAAATTAAAAACCCTTTCCTGTCCGTTTCAGTTTGCTAATAAAACAATTAGTTAAACTACATTACAGTAAGTATATGGTTTCAACCACATAAGAAATAAACTTGCTAAAATTGTAAATAAAATGTTCCAAACCTTCTTTTTTGGAGGTCTTCCTCTTTTAGTATTAACTGACACGCATCTCTTTAATATGGCTTTCATATTACACGCCTTAGCTCCAAGCTGCGATGTTATGTAATTTCCACTGGGAAGTTTTTCAAGTCTTCCAGCATCCACTTCTCTTTGTAACATGACATGGAGAGGGACTTTGAATTCCTCCCTTCCCAGTTTCTGTGACACAAGCCATCTTTCTATGTCTCTCATTGAGGCCCCGCGTTTTTCATCTCTATCCTCTATATCACCCTGTCCTACTGTCAAAGCATGTACAGCATCCGTCAACATCTCCACAGCGGCTCTAGAATTTAATACTTGTCCACCTAAATGACTTTTACGCCACTTAGCAGCGTTTCTGTAACTAATGTTACCTTTGTAATCTACTTTGATTACTATTTGTGCATCCACAAGTTTTTCAAGTTGCTCTTCCGTCTCAGTGAATCTCAATCCGTGTTTTCTTTTCGCCATGTGACATATTCGCGGTAGATCGGGCCTTGCCTTTCGTTGACGTAGTTGGTCTATCGCTTGCAAGATCCATTCTTTACTCTGCAGAGCTGACATAACTCCATATAAACAACAAGTTGATGACAGTCATTGAAAATGTCACAAATTTACCGACAGTGTAGATTTCCTTGTAGAGAAAACTTTCGACATGGCAGCAAGCCTTTACGCATGTGCCCAGACGCACAATATTGCATTATGGGATAAATGGTTCTCTCTGCACTCGTACGCTATCGAGTTGTAATAAAAATAAAGATTGAACTCAAGTGCAATTAAATCATAACTATTTGATATATGTTTATCAGCAAAGCGTATTATCAGATACAAATGCAATCGTGTTTCAACACACCTACAGTACTAATATCTATCGAGGAGAAACAGACCTAAATAATTTGTTCGTGCAAGCGTGACAGCGAAGCCTACACGATAGTGTGTATTATCGGAAAGCGCCTTCTGGGTATATTATATATATATATATGCCTACACATACGGTATCGACGTGTTTCTAGTCGTAAACGGATAACACTCTGTGGCATTTAGATGTGATGACGTCAGAGAAAATAGGAAAACATCTATAAAACCTTCTAAACACATTTTACATGTGTTGTGTCTGTACTGTAAATTGCGGTCTTATCCTTTTTTGTTTTTACTTATACTTGTTTCTTATAAATGTGACTTACACAGACAAGAATGATTTATGTTTATATGTAACACACAAATAGAATGTAATTTATTTAAATAGGTATATTTTCTTCATTAGAAATTAATTTAAAACACAATGCATTTAAACGGATTTTAAACTCAGATTATGGCCGAACAAGATGTGATTTAAACATTGATATCAACTCGTGGAGACATTTTTAATGTAAACAGCGCCATTGAGTTGACTTTCAACGTGTAGTGCGTTCACAAGTAACATGAATGCCCCTATTAGGATATATATATATTATGTGGAACTGTCATATATAATGACCCACTGGTGTGTTTGTGTGGCGTGTATACACAGCGACATATTCAAGCATATGTGCACCAGAGCTTCGTATTGAGTTTTCGTTAAATCATGGCCATAGGCACGCATTAACGACAGATATTTTTTTTCTGTTCTGTTTTGTTCAAATTATCTTGCGTGTTATGCGATCCCAGCTACACATATAATGTACGGGTACACATAAATCCTGTGTGTTCAAAACGCTTACTTTATAATTAGGAATTCTTCAGAAAAAATCCTAAATCATCTACATTGTGATACGTGTATCAGTATCGAAAACACTTGTATTTAAATGAAATCTTAGTACGTGCGTAATCACAAAACGTGGACAGACTGCATCCGGTACACATACTAGACCTCGTGACCTTGAGAAATCGAGTTAGCGTCGATGAGTGTATGTGTGTCACCCAAATATAGTGACATGTGTTTTCGTTAGAGACAAACTGGTGCATGTATCAGTTGCATTTAAAATCATATTTAACTATTTATTCCGGAAACTACACGGAAGATACAATTGTTTGATATCGCATCGGACACGGCGATTCAGCGTTAATGACCCATGCGCACCTGCACGTACGTGATCCTCGTTGATGGATGACGTCACGGATTACGTGCAGTTAATTACGTGATCAACATGAAAGTGTGATAAGGTTCTTTCGCTAAGACGGATCATGTTCAATGTGAATTATCAGTACAATTATAATTAACAGGTCTGAAAAGAGATGTCCGCATTATTTTTTTTTAATTTCTGTTATCTATTTAGGTCGAATAAAATCGGTTACGTTGAAAATGATAATGGCATTAGCCGTTGGCGCCATTTCTGTAACATTTATGCTTTTCCTCTATAAACAACAATTTCAGCATTAGCAAATAAAACAATTTCACAACGCGAGTATTTCATAAAAAAAATGACACATGCAGTTAGTTCCCTTTATAGAATATGACGCTTACACAAGATATGGCAGGTAAACTCGAATCATAAAGACTGACTTGAAACAGGTTTCAGAATATCTATGTAATATGAACAACTTCAAACAACCTGTTATATAGTACTTAACTGATGCCGATGTATTCAGATAGGACCGTGATTAGATAATGAGAGGATTTCAATGGACATTTCTGTTCAGTTTTAAACGTATTTCTAAATTTAAAACCGTCTATTTCAAAGTGTCATTTTCTAGTTGTAAGGCAATATATCACAGTTGAAACATGTTTTTTTTTATTTTATTATCTTTCTGGCTTCCGTTTCACTTTTAAGTATTCTTTTCTTAAATCACATTACCAGTTGTTCATTGCATTTTGTAAAAGTTTAGTAGTATGTCATCCTTATCTTACGCAGTATAAACGTAGACATAACTACCTTTTCGAAATATCACCTAGCGTTATCAAATCCAAGGATCTCAAATCTATGTAATTAAATTTAAAAAATACAGTGAGGTGGAGACAGTCTACAGCGCCGAATACATCTCGAGTGTTAATTAACACGGAGTTATAATACATAAAACTTACATTTGCTTGTGTGGTAGATTAGTGGTAGAGCATCGGAATTTCGTTACACCAGAGAGAGATCCTGAACTGTCGTAATTGTGTCCTTGGCCACGACGCTTTATCGCAATCGGTCTGAATAGCAAGCGACGGACCTCCCGTACGATGTTCACTGAGGCAGCAATCAGTATAAAAAGTATTCAAATATAAAGTCTACTATATAAGAACGAACATAGTTAAGTATTATCTTATATCTAATGACACTGGGTTTAGTAATGATCATCAGGAAAAAACTACGTCTGGTCAGTTTAATAAATATTAGGTTCTTGACTGAAATTTTCTCACCAATACACTCTGACCTTATCGTAACTTAACAAATGCTTGATATCTTAAGTACACAAACTAAATTAAGATGCAATGAGTGTATTTTTATCTTCCAATGAAAGAGGAAATGATGGACCGGAGTCACTTGCGAGAAAAGGCTTTGTCCCCATGTTATAATATCTATGTTGTTGATGAGTTTATTTATTTCTATTAATGTGATAATCAGTCTGGTACACTGTACATTACTCCGTTTGACAACGTAAATCCAAATTATTTAAAAATTGAAGAAGAGATTACAATTTGTAATAGTTAATGATTTAACCAAAAAAGTGGATTTGTAAAAGTAAAATAAAGTCATAAAATTACTTTATGTCACGGACTGTACACGTCTATTTTTCATGTTTGTTTTTTGTTGTTGCTGTTTTTTTATTTATTTGCTAATCATTTTTGAACTTTACATATATAATACGCGACACATTCATATAACATCACATTACTTTTGACAATAAGATGACAGTTAATATATTTATTATTGAGTACCTTTGGAAAGTAAACAGAATTATATTTATTCTGGTATTTTAAGTGTGACCTCTAATTACACACGTGTAACCTGAACTGGAATCATGTAACTATGCACAAGGAGAGCCCCGACTAAGCAGGGGACGATAAACCATGTAAACAAACTCCATGTACGTACCTATAGGCGCCGTGGAATGTTATTTGAATAATCACTTCATAATAATTAGTTTGACAGCACAAGAGCGACCGTCATCGCGAATAGTATGAAGAAGTCTGACTGAATTTCAAGGTAAATTCATGTTTTGAAATGTCCAAGTGTAATATTACATATATATATATATTATTATATACTCCTCCAGTAGTTCGTTTGAATTGTTTTGTGTTGCAAATAAATTTACATGAAAATGTATTAACATAAAATGATTCAGTACCATGAATTCTAAATATAAAACGTTAAAAAAGCGCATTTTTCCCAAAGCAAACAGCAAGGTCAAGGCTTCACATTACGCTGGTGTCAATTTCATATGTAAATAAGTATATATGACTAGTTTAAGTATTCTGTACTGTTTTCGTGTTCGGATTTCCAAATAACTACACACGAATATCTGCTAAAAGTTTTCTTCCGCTGTCAACCCGACATGACGGTAGCGTTGTCAACCAGACAATTACGTTTTCGTGTAGCATAAAATATAAATAAATTTCCCATCATTTATGAATAATAAATATGACATATTGTTATCAGTATAAATGTTACAAAAAATAACATTAAGTCTTATACCCACATACAACTTGTTTGTCTGTTGTGTTAAATCCCCTCATGATTTCGTTTGAAGTTTATTTATGTGAATCTGAAGTACGATTGAACTAATGTATATAGGACACGTGACAAGCTATCGGACAGTGAACTTATTTGAGTGAAATTTTCCCTATATTCCAGAGAGGCAGGTCTAGCTTTGTAGGGGTGGGGTGGGGTAGGGGGTTGTTGGGGGGGCGGAGGTAAGGGGTGAGTGGGGACCTCATTTACTTTCACAGAGTTTTAAAAATAAATCGCATGTTCAGTTTGACCTTCACTACATGTCAACTTATTGTATAAGATCAAAATTGCCATGACACGATGAGAATATATTTTCAGTATCAATACTGTAGTACAATTATTAACGTAAAAAGTACGAAAATATGTTCCCAAATGTTCATGTGAATAGTACCCACTAATATATGCGTACACACACGCGTCACTGAGCGGGAACATCAATTATTTTCTAGTCTTTTTTCCCACGAGGCACAAAGATGGCGTATTATACGGTTCATTTAAGCGATACAAAACCAACCCAGTGGTTAAGAAACTGATATGTTAAAGATTATTCTGGTGTATTACTAAGAGAAAAGTATAAAAGTATTTTAAAATATCCCTATCTTACTTCGGTATTTTTGTTGTTTTTTCATATCAAATTTTAAAGAGATTGCATTCCTTGTCGCAGAATCGATTCATTTCTATACCATTAGATGGGGAAAATGTTGTCGTGTGTTTTTAACTCAAAATTGTATTTTATTGCACTGCACTGCACTGTATTGTACTGCATTGCACTGTGTTGTACTGTACTGCACTGTATTGTACTGTACTGTTCTTTACTGTACTGTACTGTATTGTACTGTACTGTACTGTTCTGTACTGTACTGTACTGTATTGTACTGCACTGTATTGTACTGTACTGTATTATTCTGTACTGTATTGTATTGTATTGTACTGTACTGTACTGTACTGTACTGATGATGGGATGACGCAGATTTCCTCGGCATCCTTCCGGGGTTCGATCTAGGAT